CTGCTGTTCCCTCCTGCAGGAGCACGGCGTCTCCCTCACGTCCACAGCCTAAACTTTCTTAAAATTTGTATTTTATTTATTTATTTATTTATTTTGAGACAGAGCTCTCGCTTAGTTGCCAGCCCTAGAGTGAGTGCCCGTGCGTCAGCCCTAGCTCACAGCAACCTCAAACGCCTGGGCTCAAGCGATCCTCCTGCCCAGCCCTCCGAGTTAGCTGACTTACAAGGCACGCGGCCACCATGCCCCGGCTGTTTTTTTTCTAGATATGCTTATTTTGCCAATTAGTTTTTTCACTATTTATAGCTAGAGACGCGGTCTCGCTCTTGCCCTCAGGCTGTTTTCGACTCCTGACCTGGAGCAACTCCCCCGCCTCGGCCTCCCAGAGCGGCTGGATTCCAGCGTTGAGCCACCGCACTGGCGCCAACGGGCCTTCAAAAACTTTAAGAATGTTGTAAATGAGCCGCGGAGATCTCCTGGCCTCCGTGCCGCCCCCTCCACCGGCCGCGGCATCTTTCCAGCAATTCCCAAACCGTACGCTCAACTGCTTGGCGCCCGGCTGGTTTGTCATTTAATTCACTTGGAAATCCTTACTGGCCACAATGTGATTTCTCTCTTTTGTTTTTTTTTTTTTTTGTGATTTGTTGAGGTTTTAGTTTGCTGCAGAGTCTCACTTGTAGACGCGAAAGCAGGCTACCCCTCGGGTGGAGAGCCCGGCCACCGCCTGTCTCTCGCTCTTACAAGCAGCCCGCCTGCTTGCGGGACACTGTGTGATAGATTCCAGATGAGGCCTTCGTCGGCGGAGCTGCCATTGGGTTCCCACAGCGCTACTCCCGTGGCCCCCATCCATATGGGGGACAAGGCACCCCTCCCTCCCCCTCACACGAGTGCGAGCTCTCTCCTGCCCTGCTTGTGACATCCGTTCCATGAGGATGCCCACCTTTCTGTGTCGGGCCTATTACGGCAGGCTGGCCTGCCCTGTTTCACTGCTCTGGCCTGGTCTGGCCGTGCTGCCACGAGACTCCTCTCTCTGCAGCGGGTCCCCTCTCCCTGCCGCGCTGCGTTCCCGTGTGGGTGCAGGAGCTTTCCGCTGATCCAGCCTAGACTTTCTCTGCCTTTGGCCAGATTCTGGCAAACGCTGAGCGCCGCGGAGTCCCTCCCTTGTCTCTGGGTGGTTGGAGCCTCCACGGGTGCTGCGGGTCCCGCGCAGTGACAGACGTCAGGCTGTGTCCTGACCCCGGGTGCCAGCGTCCCCGAGGCCGCAGCGGGCCTCTGAGTCGCGTGGGTCACAACGGTGCCATCGTCACCATGCGGGAGTTGCCACGGAGCCTTAATACTTTTTTAGAGCCATTTTTATCAAGGAATGCTGTTGGATTTGTCAAAGTTCCTTTCAGTATCTATGGGAGATATTGAGCATTGTTGCTCTCTAGATCTAGTTATTAAGAGATCATTTTGTAGTAGATTTGCCCTAGTGATAAACCATCCCTGCATTCCTGAAGAAGTCCCAGTCGTGGTAATCATGTCTTAACGTACTGCTGGTTTTTGTGAGAAACAGCGTTTCGCAGACGTCCGCTGCGGCAAGTGCGAAGGCCGCACGAAGCGCTCCTGGTGTGAGAACTGTGTCAGGTTTTCGCGTCAGTGCTACATTTGCTTCCTAGAAATGTTTGAAGCCTGGCAGATTTCTCCCGTGCAACTGTCGCGGATCGCGAGTGTGCTTGCTAAAGCTTAGTTTGCGGAAAGAAACAGAGAGAGGAGAAGAGAGTGGGGCCAAACAACGTAGCTTTTCTGATGCGCCATGGCGAGCGCAGGTCCCAAGAGAGGAGGGCCGAGAAGGCGCCCGTTTGGAGGGTTTGGAGCTTTATACGTTTGAGCGGGCTAGACTTTTGTCGGGAAGAGTTCCATGGCCCTCTCCTCCCCCGGCACCCTGAGCCTGGAGACCCTGGACGGCTGGCACCCCAACCCTGACCCGGACCCGGACCCAGACTCAGAGCCGGCGGGCCACCCGCCTAGCGAGACCTGTGAGTCCTTTCCTCCCTCCTGGGGTCCAGGGGCAGAGGGAGCCGGGCCTCTGCCTCCCTTGTGGGCAGGCACCATGGCAGGCCTGGCAAGGGAAGGGCCAGCCACGGGGGACCCCCAGCCCCTCAGGGTGGGCACTCCCTGGCCCTCCTCTTTGGGTTGGGACACTGGGTGTCACTGTGGGGCCGCGCTGGGCCTGCCTGGCAGAGACTGAGGGCTGGCTCTCTCACTTCTGCGTGTCCTGCGTGTGCGTGTCCTGCGTCCTGCGTGGCTTCCGTGGCCTGGCGGCTGCCCCAGTCCTAGACCCAGAGGCTGAGCCCAGCGTGGACGTGATCCTGGTGGGCTCCAGCCCGCCGTCCCCCGGGCGGGGCAGAGGTGAGTCCGTCTATTTACCTGGTCGCTTGGGGTGCTGGCCCGGGAGTTCCAGGCTTATAGAATATTCAAGCCAGTCAGAGGCCGGTTGGGGGTCGGGCAGGCGTCCTAGAGCCTCCCCCGGGCTCAGGTGTTTCACACACCAGGATCCGGTGCGGGAGGGAGGGTGGGGCCCTCGGGCTGCTGAGTCTTCAGGAGACACATGCTCGATGCTCCCTTCTTGGCCCTATTTAAGTGAGGAGATAAGAGGAGGAAGGCAGGGGCTACTTCTTACCTCCTTTCCAGATCTCATTGCGTATGAAGTCCAGGTGAACCAGAGAAACATAGAAGGTGAGTGTTTGCACACCTGCCCGCCACCAGGCCTGCTCCGGCAGGGCCCAGCCGTCCTGGAGGAAGGCAGCGGACGCCACCGGTGCCCACTGTGTCCCCTCCAAAAACCAACCCTGAGCCCCCACAGCTTGTTCAAAGTAGCCACTCAGCGTCAGCTCGTATGGTCGCAGAGTTGTGCAACCATATCACCGTCTCACTGTAGAGCATTTCGTCACCCCGGGAAGAAGACTGCTCATATCCATTAGCCGTCGCCCCTCCGTGCCCCCCTCTCTCATGCAGGCCGCGCCGGACTCTACCTTTCTATCCCGTTGGATTCGCTCTGTGCTCGGCATGCCGGGCGATTCCGTGTGGGATTTAGTGGTCAGGCTCCGTCACACTCTTCCAAAAAAAAGCAGCTGGATGTCGGTTCTTGTAATGACGAGGGGCCCAGTCGTGGCTATTCAACATCTGTTAAGCCTCGATCCACTGAACACGGCCACGCTTCCCATCTCCTTACGTCTTCTTTAATTTCCTTCAACCGCGTCTTGCAGTTCTCAGCGCACAGTCCTTGCCCTCCTCCTGTTGAATGAATGCCTTAGTCCTTGCTGTGTCTGGCAGCACCTTGACACACCTTGCACCTGGTGTTCCTCTAACCTGCTGCCTCTGCTGTGGAAGCTTCCAGGTCCACACGCAGCACCCGCTGTTTGAGGGCATGTTGCTCCGTGCAAGTAGCAGGAAAGCGGCGTGCGTCCCGCAGCCGAGGAGCAGAGGCGCGCGCCAAAACAACGTCACAAAACACACATCACAACAACAATTCTGGAACCTAATCCGTAAACAACACACAAACACAAAATCCTAACCCCCATTTGCTCGCAGGAGAGACGCTGGCTCATCTGCAGAACCCCGACTGCAACCCCGGTGGCGCCGCGCCTGGGGGACGCCATTCTCACGCTGCCTGGAGCGTGGGTCTTCCTCCCAAAAGGCGGTTCCTCCAGAGCTCCCAGTGCTTGATTTGGCGAGAGCCTGCCGTGGGTTGGGGCGGGAGCGTCGAATTTTGCATCCGTGTTTTCTGTTTCCGAGCTACTGTTCGCTGAGACCGCGCTGCTACGTGTTCCGAAATAAGACAGGTCTTATATTTATTTTCTCAAGAAGACACCCTAGGGCTTATTTCAGGGGATGCGTTAATTTTCCTCAAAGCTCACTTGCAGCACGCACGAGGATGGCCGGGACCCGACTGGGGCAGCCGACCTTCGTGGGTGGGGCTGCGCACCTTTTCCGGATCCTCCTGGGATAGTGCTGTACGATGGGGAATTTAGAAGGGCTGCTCGCCTCTTTACTGGCTCGCGACGAATGCATGTTGGTGCAGATGCGCCTGCATAGCCACGCCATCGCTAGTTTATTTTGGGGTGGGCCTTCCTAACTGCACAAATGCTTAAATCCTGCTAGGGTTATTTATGGTGTCTTGTTTCCAGGACACACGTACATGAGGGTCATTGCAAGCAGATGAAGGAAAGCCCACCCTCAGGCTGGCCAGGACGATTTCCGTCTTGTCTGCTCAACACCCTCCCGGGGGGCCCCCTTCCGTCCTCCGGGCCACCTCTGCCTACCACTCCCGGCCTCCAACGTCTCCCCTGTCTGGTCGCTGTTGACCTGACTGTGTGTGCAGGGCCAGATTCGTGGCTCAGGGAGCCACTGTTGAAATATATCGTTTACCAGAAACCGAGCTGCGTTCTGCTCAGCTCCCCTTCTGGGTCCAGAAGGACGTGTCCAGGTTCCGGGTCGCGGCTGCCCCCGCCACGCATCACGGAGGCGGACGGGACAGGCATCCTGTGTCCGACGCCGCCGTGACTTCCGTTGCTCCCGCGAGCGACGCACCCTCTGCCGCCAGCCGCGCCCCCCCCTGCCACGGAGTCCCCGTCACTGCGTTTCCTCTCTCTAGGTGCTACGCTCGAGTGCGCATAGCCTGGCAGCGGACTCCGGAGAAGTGAACGCCCATGAGCAACGGGTGCTCCCTGTGCCTGCCCTCTCGCAGCGGGCTCCGCACGCCGCAGAAGTGGCGTCCTGGCTGAAGGCCTTCTGCGACGCCAGTCGTGGTCAGAGGCCGAACGCTGCCTGGTTTTGCCGTCCAGTACCTAGTCAAAACGCTTGTTATGTGTGTTGTGTCGGTCAAGTGCAGGTGTGTCTAGGTCACCTTGCAGCCCATGAACCAGGCTGAAGCCGACACTTCCTCATTGCCTCTTTAACAGCAGATCACCCAGCCGAGCAGGGCGAAGCCTGTGTCGGTCTTTGCTAGAACCATTGCAGAAGTGGAATATTAACGCACCTAAGAACATACGATTATCTCCATTCTGTGGTGGGTGTTGCAGTTCATTCCAAGGGTGGGAAAAATACCGTTTATCACAGATACAAATAGTCGAGGCATGCGTGCAATAGCTGTACCATGTCCCATCACTCATGCCAGAGCGATGATAGGGTGGCTGACGATCAGACGTCGCAGGGCTGCTATGCAGGCGGTTTGACGGCCTGACGGTTGCTACCGTCTCAGCCACACTGGTTCGTGTGAGCTCTGCAATCAGACCTAAGCTCTGCTCAAAAACAAAAAAAAAGCAGATGCTACAGAAGATCAGTTCCTTGGTAAAACATCTGGACCGCGGCCAGTTGTGTCCTACACCTGGGAATCTTGGAGCATGTGCGTGTTG